AGATGCTCGCTTCTTGCTTTATGGCACCGGATCCCTTGACCGAAGCGAATAGCCTCCATGATCCCAACTTGGAACACGTGTTGCAGGACAAAGAGAGGTTGTATCAGTACTTGTTCGGAGATTCCGTAAGAGGAAGCCACGCATATCAGTCCACTGCGGGGCCTTCAGGTGAGAATGAGTCTGAGCGGAGGAAGAGGGAGAAGGTAAGGAGAGAGAACAAAATGCCATGGATGGATGAGTACTGGGGAGTCCTTCAGCCAGAACCAATATACTCGAGGACTCAAAGATGGTACGTCATTGATGACTTCAAGGAGGGTGAGGAAATTTGCTGCGATTACTGCCTGGTCTGCAATCCCATAGACTCCGATTTGAAAGACGATTGCTATGCAGAATGTATCAACGGAGCAGCAAATAGATGCCGTGGGATGTCCGCAGAAGACTACGTCCAGAAGCGATTCCATGCGTGTGCGCGATTGCTTCACAACTTCGGCATGGGACAAACGGTATCCTCTCCCACCGTCATGATCTCCGAGATGAACCCGCACGAAGACCTGATGAGGTTCTTACACGAGGCGATGATCATACTTAATGAGAATCCAGGTTTCCAGAAGGAGATCTCGTTCTTCGGGGGGATCAGGTTGTCATCAACTATGACGGAGAACTTCTTCAAAACGAGGAGAGGGCCCAGCATCCATGTGGAAAAGCAGATAGTCGGCAGCGCCAAGTACTACCAGGGATCCTATGACCTTGGCAACGTGTGCTACACCAAATACCTCAAGACCATACTGGAGCCCGATGTATTCCGCAATATATTCGGAGATGATCCCACGGAGGAACGGGTAGGTGATATGGTGGAAGCGCTGCTGGGCATGTTAGAAATTGCTCAACTCTTCAGACACCTGTTCTTGGGATGGGGTGACATCGAAGCTTTGAGGACGGGATTAGAAGAATCCATCAAGCGCGTCACTGCATCGCTGTACGATAGGACAACGTATGAGAACCGAAAGCGATCGACGATCAGAACATTGGACCCGCACTCTGATGAGGCGGCAAACGTGGCACTGATTCTCGTTCGCATGAGGACCATGCCGCCTCCTGAATTCGACATCGACCACTTCTTCGAAATTGGGAAAGAACCAGAACAGGGAGCGGAGGCTACTGACCAGCCCGAGGCCGAAGGTGTCGATATGGAGACTGAATGTGAACAGGAGAAAGAGGAGCAAGACGCTGACATGCCCGATCCGAAGACATCAATACTGCAAGCCATCGACGAGTTCGAGAAGAAGATCGGGCAAGCAGAATTCTGCATCCACTGCATGAAGTCGGGACACACAACTCTCAATTGCGAGAAGACCCCTTCATCTTCACCTACGGTCACCTCAGTGTTGAGTGATTGGAAGAAGAGAGTGAAAGGGGAGGTTGCACCCGACGATGTACCATCTGGACATCCGACCGAAGAGCCTAAGAAGAAGAAGCAGAGAGCATCGCCTACTCCAGATAGGAAGGTCGACAGCGAGTTCAGGCGAAAAGAGATGTTGAAAGCAAGAGTCGTGACAATGTTCGACCACGACGGATTCACCTTGATCGAAAGTGCTGATGGAGTCGAAGGAGGGCCACATTCCTACAATGGGCGGAAGCTTGCGGAAGCAGGCCCTAGGGATATGAAAGTGGTGTACGAATTTGTAGAGAAGGCATTTGTGCACTCCAGTTCCCTCACACCAAAGGCATGTCATCACTTCTATCCCCTACCAACACGGAGGGAGAAGGGATACAAGCCGATCGACCCCATGACGATGATCGGGAAGGTAGAATTAGTACCGATCAACGGAGTCACTTTCGCTGCACAGAACTCCGACTACGGCAACCACAAGTATCCGACTCCAGACTGTCGAGTACCTGAATACAGCCAAGCGAGCCAGGCCCTGAGTCGCCGATTGGGAGCGAAGTTGAGGCATCGAATTGGACGCCAGTTCAGGACAGGAGGAAGACTCACACCAATCAAATGCGATGAAGGCGCATGGGTGTCATGGGAAGACCTGTTAGGTGATAACGCAGTTTGGGAAGACGGTTATCACTATGGCAACATAGACATCGTGACCAAGAAGGCGCGCTTGGAGAAGTACTTCGACCAGAACTATGAGTGTTTCCGCATAACCAAGAGGGTCAGATTCCAAATGCTGGCAGTCCGCGTTCACCCTGACGAACTCAATGACCCTGATGACCCGATGGAGAAAGAATGGATTGACGAACTCAAGGGCATGGGGATTACCAAAGGAAGACTCCACCATAGCGATGGATGGTGCTTTCCCGTGGCCGTAAGAGCAACCTCGGCACACTCAACGGATGGCGGAGGTTACGACGTTACCATTAACATCGACCACATTGGATCGAGAATGACCAACGACATGGCCCTATCTATGGTGACTGCATTTCACGCTACCAATCTTGGAGCGCTGACTTCAATCATGCGACGAGGGCTAGTGCCAGGAGGTCTCGGTTCATCGGGAAGGGATTCTACCCACTTCACATGTTTTCCGCCATGGGCCTGGGAGCAGGGCTACAAGGGAAAACCTTGGCTAGGTCGTAAGGTCGCATTGAGTGATCGCCCAGTGGTTCTCTACATTCCGGTGTGGAAGCTGCAGGAGTACGGACTTCTCATCTCAGCGACTGGATCTCTATTGGTTGAGAACGTCGTTCCCTTCGATGAGGTTAAAGGGGCATGGTTGCAATGCGACAATGCGGAACCCGGACAGCCTGAGGAGATCGAATGGATCCGGTTACTCAATAGGGAACCCGACCCTGGAAGCTACCTTGTTCTGGAGTCCAAATACGGAAACCCGATCATGACTCCACGCTACCAAAAGCTTGAGAGTTTAGCGGTTGAGGTTCAGGACGATACCTACTCCGAGGACGACGCCAAAATCTCAAAGCTGTTGGGCATGATCGAGGAGAGTGGTGTCTACCCAGAATATGATAGCACCGAGTGGCAGGAAATCTTTGAGGAGATCGTGTACCGCCGGGCAATGAAAGACTACGACTCGAGACCGTGTCCTAACTGTCTTGGCGAAGTCGATGTGCGATTGACGATATGTCCGCACTGCGTAGCGGTTTTGATCGCAAATGGGAAGCTCACGCATGTGGTACCCAAGGAGACAAGGGACCGCAATCGACGATCACCTCCGAAAGATGTCCCAGCCAGTTCTTCCGGTGAAACAACTTCTGCTGCAGGTGCAAACATCGATGAAGTCATCAAGAACGCACGCAAGACAGCCGAAGAGGTCATTGAGGTCGAGGAATCCGAAGGAGAGGAAGAGGAGGAAGTTCCTATCATTTTGAAGGAACGACCGGACGAAGTTGGAGGCGAACCCGAATATCGGGAGGTCCCTCAAGATGGATACGGGAATGAACTTCCACAACCTTTCCCCTTCGCAATTGACGAATTGCCGCAAGAAGCTGCGATCCCCATCGACCACAACTTTGCCGTCACACAGCAATTTGATTTGAGGTTGATGAAGTTGATCAAGAGCTTGGCCAACGCAACATTCGACATCAACTGCTTTGAAAGTCGTGAAGATGTACTGCGGATGTTCGACGACGGGCAGCGGCACGATACTCCGCACAATAGATGGCCGATAGTACCGAATGATCCGGATACTGGGTTTCCAAGACGTCTCCAGAGAGCCGAGGTCGTAGGCATGAGCAGATGGACCGACGACGCGTATGCAACAGAAGCGTGGCAGATCTATGAATTCCACGCCCACGTTGTTCACCCGATGATGATCACTGCAATCCGCTGCGGGCTTAGCCACAAATACCTCAAAGAGGTCGGCAGCACTCGGCGTGACATGAGTGATCCAAAGGCTCGAAAGTCTGAGACCCAGGATGAGATCATCGAGAAACTGGCGTTCATCGCAAACTTCATCAGACGTTTGATTAAGAAGACCTTCGGGGCGAGCCGATATAGTTACTACCAGAAACCAGATGACGAAAGTGCCGCTCCGTACAAATTCATTGACATTATAGTCCTGCCATCAAATCGGAGAGGAGGAATGTCACGAAGGAGATCCTCGTTGCATGCCGCTACTATGGCATAGAGGTATCCGATGTCCAGGAAAAGAAATTGAAGTCCTTCGAGGAGCAGATCCGAAGGGGAAACCCAAGGAACGTTGAGCTCATCAAGGACTACATTGGCTTTGTCGGCGCTGACTACATGCGACAAATCACGAATGGTTGAGCATTGGGGTCATACCGACATGCCACTTCCGGTACTTCAAGTACTGAGGGATCTTGGGTAATTCATGATGACCGTTTGGCATCATGGGAGTGAGAGAGGATTGTGTTTCACACCGTTGGTAATCGCATGATACCATAGGTAGGTGCACGTTTTCCGCTTGTAGCTCCATTGCCTGTTTGATCCAACTTTCAAGCGAATGCAAGATCGTTTGCTAATTCAGCTCAATAGGACATACTGGTTGACCTCCAATGCACTTTTGAGAACGTGATTCGTTCTCCGGTTTTTACATCCACTCATCTCCCTTCCCCGTCGAAGCACGGATGTGGGGGGTGTCAATAGGGATGAGGTCCCAGTATAGTTGCTATACAGGTACATGCCATATACTTTTGGCTCAAGTGCCCAACCAGGTAAAAAGGAGCTTTAGCGCGCGAGCTTCATGTCAACCTAAGAGCTAGAACGGGGCCAGGGCACACCTTTCCATCCGTTCGCATTAACTATGCAACACTATGCAACATATTTCTGCCTGTTCATATCTTTTCATCTACATAACCAGCCCAAAGGTAGACATGTTGCATATAGTTGCATAGATCCAGGATCTGATTTGCTGTGTGTTTTTGTTTCAATCCATCTCGGGTCATATGCGTGGGTTGTATGTCCACTGCAAAAACAGGAATCGCTCCCTAAGGACTCCACTGATCGCCATCGAAACGGCCCAGCCCCGAACAGCGGTCCGGATCCACTCTCCAACGGCCGGTTCGTCCCTCAGGCAGCCCTTGCTGCGGCCGGGCGGCGAACGACGGAGCCAAGCACTCCAAGCGGTGGAGGCGAGGGGCGGAGGGGCAGAGGGACAGAGAATGACACATGAAGAGTGGAATGAAACATAGGGAGCGGCCACGGATCTTCCCATGGAGGCCAGGACCCCCTAAGATGGAGGGGAGCGAACCAAACCCCATAACACCCCATGGTTTTGAGATGTTTTCGAGGGGCCGGGACCTGAGCGTTTGGGGTATTTGGAAAATGGATGTTGCTGAGTGGCGGTGTTTGCCCCAATGATGCAGGACTTCCGGACGGTGGATTGAAGTCGATCGATCTTTCCTTTGCGATCAATGCGGAGAATCGATCGAGCTTCTAGGTTGTTGGGTTGCGCGGACTCGTGGATGAAAGCCATCTAAGCGGGCCACGCTGAGGGTCAAAGACAAAAACAAAGACAAACATGGCAAGCAAACTTCCATTTTATTTCGAATCAAGCAAATGTTGTCCTTTTTACTTCTAGGGTATAATACATGCTTGCTACTTGACGATTGAAGTTCAGAATCACATCATATTGTGTGTGTGTTCGCTACATGCGAACGAACAGGTGGCGCTGCGGAATGGCGCGTCGCCCAACAGCTGGAAAGGCGCGAAAAGCCGAGCTCGGCATCGCTTTTTCATCGTCCGCACCACCCGAAGGGGCAATGGATTCCTGGAAGGGAAACATACAGCATTACAGCATACATATCATTTCGAGAAGGTAGATCTATATACCTTCTTAGAGATCTTCCAACTGGAAATGTTGCATAATTGGATCTAACAGAGAGAGAGAGAGAGACGGAGAAGAAAAAGAAAACAGGAAGAATAATGTCTCTTTTTGATTAACAAAAGCGGCATCTTCTCACTGATCCACCCTTCTCGGCCAGGCCCCGGCTCACCCTTGCAATCTGCTGTCCAAGCGAGAGCTCCAGATCTGGTGGGCTGCCTCTTAAAAGCTCATGCAGATCCAGGTGGCGACGCGCTCGCGACGCGCACTTCCTCGCGCTCTGCCATCGGAAGTCTTTGGCCGAGATGTGGAAGGTCAACAGGATGCAGGTCAAAGGATGTGATATTTGATGAATCATGTCAATGACATGACTTGACTTATGACTTCAACAGTGTTCAGTTCACCTCCGTCGCACATGTCGCACCTCGTTCACCACGTGGTGCGATCGGATCTCGCACCAGACGACCAGGTGAAATCGACGCTCACGGGGTCTCCTGCGCAGCCGGTGGCGGCTGGGAGTTGATGTTGTGGAGGTTGGAGAAAACCATCGTAGGAACCGTTGGGAGGTGAGATGAGGTGAGTTTGGTTGCCCCCTTCCCTCAGAACCAGGTCTTTGGACTCTGCAGCGGAGGTAGCTGCACTGGTAGCGTAGCGGGCTAACAAGGTAGGTGGTGGTAGCGAACACGAAGCGAGCCCACCCAACCAAGGATCGCAATGATCCGGAGCACCTTTTCTCAAGTGCCGTCGAAAGGCCTCCTAGGCCTGTGTAGCCACCATGGCTGGGTTCCAGCCGAACGATCCGTGGATCAAAAGGGGGCCCCCTGGTTTGGGCCATATGCAAATGAAGAAAACATGGTGGCACCTGATACATGTCCCAAAGCTGCACCAGGACAAAAGGAAGTCAGGTGATCACCATGTGCCTCACTCAGAAGCTCGTGACCTGGTAGGTCTCTGGCAATGATTGCAAGCTCCATGAACTTGCCCTGCATGGACTCCCAGAAGTCGTGGTGTCCTTCATCACCTAGCGAGTCATCCATGTGGGCCACTGCGGACTTGCCAGCTTTCTTGTTCTTCTTGGCTGCCACGAAGTTGTGGTCGAATGCCACTGACCACCGCCAAATGGTCATGAACTTTTCCAAGCTGACACGACTGTCCGGCCGCTTCTTTGTTAGGCCGTCGGCCAAGTCGTAATCAGATGCCACCCATCTGAGCTCGCAGCCAACACGGTCCAGGTTGTCTCTCAATTGAAATGCCTGAAGGGCGGACCGAAAGTTGGATAGCCCCAACAACGGGGACTCGTTGACCTCTATTGCGTCGAACCCTCCTCTCGAATCCGTACACAGGATTCCACGCACTTCCAACACTTGCTTCTCCACCGCCTGCACCAGACCAGTGCGATCGAGTTGAGGTCGTCGACCGCCGGTGTGAAGGTCTGTCCAAAGCACTCTCACTCGAAAGTTCTGGTCCTCGGCCTCTAAGATGCTCTGGACTTCAGCGTCATTTGATCCAATGCTTTTCCGTCGCAGCTTCCAGCTCCTCCAGCTCAGCAGGCACATAGGAGTGACCTGGCCAGAAAGACACGCAGGGCCTGCGGCCATCGTCAGCATTCCTCCTGTGCTGTCACCCTTTGGCCTGTTTGCGTGTGCTTGGTCGCCCATGGAGATGAAGACGATGTCATTCCATTTCTTGGCGCCGTCCAAGGGGAAGAAGCGCAAGTGAGAGGGTTGTCGCCGGACTTCACCAACCATAGCTTGGATCTCTCTTGCTTCAGACAAGGTGCCATTCACCGTGACTTCAGTGAGCAGGATGTTGCACCGAGAGCAAAGGAGAGGCTGAGTCTGAATGGCGAGCCATTGAAGACCTCCAAGGGTTGTGCGACAAGCAGCCACTTCTCGTGGTGTGAGCTTTCCTTCCTGCCGAAGTCTTTCAGCAGGTATGTCCAGGTCCGGCAGTGCCTCCACATAGGCATCTTGATGCACAGTCACCATGAACTTGCCGTCCTTATAGGGCTTGGTGCGAACATCAGTGCCTGCATGCCTGTAGTCACGACGGCGAGCAGTGCCCCACTTGTATGCAGCATCGATGCGAGTGCATATCTCTCGCCACTCCTGGGAGGTGTTGTCACCAATACGGTTGAAGTCGTCGACGTGTCCTCCCATGCATCCCAGCAACTTGGGATATCTGCCAGTGACATCTGTCTCGGTGGTCGAAAACCATGCCCACATTGAGCGCTCTCCAAGAACAGCTTGACCACCCAGCTTGACCAGAGTGCGATGAAGGTCCAGCCAAAGACCACGCGGAGCGGTGGTACTGCCGTAAATGTTTCGAAGAACTTTGAGGATGCCTTCTTGACCCACTCCCAAGGCCTCACGAAGCTCAGCCACACCTGTCGTCCAGAGATTGGCATCTGCTTCAGTGGGTTGAGTTTGCAGGAACGCTGTGGCCAAATCTAGGCCTTCCAATTCCCATTGATGATGGCTGGCAAGCAGGTAGATGATGTTGCGACCAATCATGGAAGTGACAGGAGCCGATGTCTTGAAGGAGCGATCGAGGAGGCTGGGATGTTGGAAGCCCAACAAAACGATCCTAGCCTTGGCTTTTCGCTTGGCATCTGGCGTCACGGTTGTGCAGGGGTTGTTGGCCAAGTCATCCAAGGCTTCTTGACGTTCCTCCTCCGGGATGGCTTTCCATACAAGGATCCATCTGGCCTTCAGGATGCGGTTGCTGTCATAGGCCTGCTTGATCTCCTCTGATGAGAGACATTTCCTCACCGCCTCATTCTTGATGAAGCTTGAGACTTCTTTGTTCTTGGCATGAGTGAAGAGTCGTTGCAAGGCCGGTGTCAACTTGGACATGTTGACCTCAGAGGAGTTCATCTTTTTGATCATGTAGGCCACAGGATTTCTCTCAAGGAACTTGCGTTGACGATGTGATGTGGCCTCTACCTCAAAGGTGACAGTCAGGATGTCCTCATTCTCCTTCACGAGTTGGTCCAAGCTGAAGGCTTGTTCCTCAAGAGCTGCATCATCTTGCAGCTTTTCCACCCATGAGAGATGTAGTAGATCATCTTCTTCACCACGAGCTCTCTTGGATGCGGGTTCTTGAGCAGTGTCTGGCTCTGTGGGCTCGTATTCATTGACCGACACCTCATCATCTCCCAGTCCAGGAGGATGTTGATCATCTCCTGCGCCAAGTCCAGACGCAGCAGGTCCAGGAAGTCCAGAGTCAAGACCTGCCGAAGAGCTGGGCCTCGAGTCCAAAGGCCGATCAAATCCAAGAGTACGATGCTCTTCTTTTCAAGTCCAAGTGGAGATGATCGATGAACCACACGATAGTCTTCGGGTGCCAGTGTTGACTTGGTGGTCTGACGCCTGATAGGAGCATATGTGGTGGAATCAGGATGCCAAGGAAGATTGGGATGTTCTGGCTCGTTCTCGGCAGGAATCTCATCAGTGAGATCCTGGTACTCTTTCTTTGGCATGATGTCGGCCAGAGTCTTCCATTGGCTGATGTCTTCCTTGGATGTCACCTCCCATCGAAGACGTTCAGGTTCAGTGACAGGACGAACACTCAGAGCTGAGCAGCGAAAGAGTTTGCCCTGCATGAGAACCCACACCACATGCCTTCGGTGATCTTGAGGATCTTGATGTGGCAATGCCTCGGAGAAGATGACCCGTCCAGGGCCGATCCATCCAGGTCTCTGACTTTTCCTCCTTCCACCACGTGGTCCTTCAAGTTCAGGATGAGCTCGACGCCAGATCTTCACAAGATCGGTGCACTTGTAGTCTCTGAGAGGTTGCCGTGCCTTGGAATTTGAGAGCCTCATCAAGATGCGTCCAGCTCGATGTTTGCGAGCGACTTGTTCAGCCTGATGTCGGGCTGACACCAGTTTGGAGTATGACAGTTTGTCCTTGATCTGGTTGAAGGTCATGTAGTCCTCATCCAGCAGGCTGTGGTCCTTGCCGAAGGCCCATTGATGTGAAGTGTAGCCGGAGACATATTCAGTGGAGTTCAAGGCAGACGCAGCTAGCACCAAAGTGACCATTGGGTCCTGATCCATGGCCTCCAGCTGAATTCCAGATGCTGTATGTTTCAGATCCTTGATGGCATGTTCAACCACGCCATGACTCCAGGCCTCTTTCTCGGCAGGGAAGTTGACGACAATGCCATTGTCTTGACAGAACTTGGTGAACTCTTCGGACCCAAATGCCCTGCCATTGTCTGGGATGAGCTGCAAGGGTTTGGGATAGTGAGTCAACCATCCCTCGCAAAAGGCCTTGATGACCTGTTGTGCAGTCTCAGTCTTCATGACGAGGAGCTCAAAGGGAGGCATCACCGGGACGACCACTCGAAGCTTGGTGGCCATGTCCAGCATCAACAGTCCCTTCACTTTCTTCTTTTGTCCAGGCACCGTCCAGTCGAAGACATCTATGCCGACGGTGGTCCAGGCTTGAGGTAGTTCATGAGTTGCTGCTGGTGGCACTCCTCCAGAGCTTGAGCCGCCAGGCTTCAGGGACTCACATGCTGGGCATTTGAAGTTCTCAGCGATGCGAATCTTCCAGAGAGGTTGGCCTGAATCTCGAAGAAGTCGGACTGTGTTGCGAACAGTTGGATGGCCAGCTGCCTTGTGGTAGTGAGCAATGCGGGCAGTCCATCTCTCTGCTTCTTGTCTGGATGGAGGCAATGCCATGGCTTCGGACTGAGATGCCGATGACGGAGCTGCTATGGCCTGATCTTCCTCTGGATCTTCCGCATTCTCAGCAGCCATGATGTCATTCTCATCGATGAAGTCCAGGGAGTTCACATCCTCCTTGGCCATGATGTAGCGAGATCGCTGTGCATTCACCATCTGTGACTTCCAGAAGCGGCTGATGGCTTCGACCATTTTCCATGGGTAGAAGGCTGACCGGCTTGTCTCCTGTCCGGTAATATTCACATGCTGATGGATGGAGCAGCACGTTTTTGCCTTGAAGCGGCTCCAGAAGCCTTCGTCCGTGGTGTTGATTCGCCACTTCTTGTGAATGAAGCCAGTGCCATCGATGGACTTGAGGTCATAGCGACATCCATCTATGCGGCATTGCTGCCAGGGAATGCACTGTTCTTCCATATATGCCTGTAGATCTTGGAGTGCTCGTTGATGCCAACCAAGACATTCTTTTGGCCATTCCCAGTAGATGAAGGTCTCGGGGTCCTCCTCCAAGGTGTCCTTGATGAAGCGTGCAGCATAGCCAAGCATGCGACGTTCTCGACGACGATAGCCTTCCAACAGCTCTTGTCTTTCTGGACCTTGGTAGTTCAAACGGGTCCAGGGGCACCACTTGGTGCAAGGGAGTGAAAACCACAATGTCTTCGGACGTTTCACCTTTCTCTCATGCGCCAGCCGCTCCCAAGTGGCAGGTTGATAGAGATCATAGCCTTGGTGAAGATTGACCCTTTTGCAGTGCAGTCCTTGGCGTTCCGACGCCTTGGTGAGCCAGCTGTCAGGAGCGCAAGCAAACTCCCACAAGC